GTCAGCGTGTTACAGAAGCTGGAGGGCATCACAGGCTTTGTGAAGGGAACGTGGTGGCCCCTCGCATGGTTCGGGGTTTTCAAAAGCCGGCTTTTTTTTAATTGCTGTCCTGTCTTTGACAGCTGGAACATAAACATGCATCTGCAAACTTCAGTACTTCTTGGCTGAGATTTTCTTCAAGTGTAACCACTGTGTTTAATGCCGTGCGAATGCAGACGTCTGTCTGTGTTCCCCGGTGCCAGAAATGATCTCACTTGCCCAAATTAAAAAGAAATTGGACTCCAGAAGCATCAAATGCCAGCTTTTCAACCCAGACTCTTGCAAAAGTGGTGCCCATACAGAGCTAGGCACACTCCAGTTGAGATTCTGTCTTTATTTTTAACGCAAAGGGTCCCTCCCCGCATCTCCCAGGGCTTGGGATCCCGGGTTCACAGTCTAAGGCGAGCAATCTATTCCATTCCACACCTGTTGTCCTCTTTCCTTTCTCTTTTTATCTCCTCTTCCCTCCCTATTTCTCTTTGTAGTTATTTTTAGCCTGTTGGCTTCCCAGGACTCAGTATCTTATCTCTGGTGTGAGTCTTTGTACACCGTGCGTGTTCTGGTCCCCTAGTTGACCGAACTAAGTCTAAGAATAAGGGCCTAGCAGAGTGGTTAATGAAACATGGGCCAATTAAAAATATTTTTATCTCTTACAGCCGGTAGCCAGACTCTATTCTTTCTTCCCAGTGCTGTTATCAGGTAGTTCCTTTAGAAATGACTCACCAATTAAACATACTCCAGCTCCTCTTTGCCTCAAACAAAGAATTGAATGAGACAAGGCAAAAAATGGTGCCAAAAACGTATTTGAAAAGTGAGGGGTGAAGGAGTAAGAGAAAAACTGGCTCTGCAGAGAGAACTTGGGCCAAAAAGAGAGGAAAGGATAAAAGCAAAAATAAAAGTACAGCCTGTGTGGGGGAGGCACAGAGTGGGCTACCGTGAAGAGTCAGGATACAGGCTCCTCGTGGCGTCTGTGTCCTTTTACACGTCCCTAGCATGTGGGAACCCTCAAGCAGTACTGCATGCAGGGTCTTGTTTGGCGCTGTCCTGGGGAGTGTCATTGACTGGTCCTGCTCATTTCCCAGCCATCGCTGCTCACCATATCTCCCACCGCAGGGCTGGGGTGGAACCCAGGGCCTCACAGGTGCAGGGCAAGCGCCCTTCAGCAAGGCACACCCGACTCCTGCCAGGCTCCTCTTACTGCCAGGCAAAGAAAATTCTTACCTAATGTCTGTGAACTTACAGTCACAGAAATTCTGACCACCTTAAAACAGTCACTTTGGAAGAAGATGAATAGCAAGTTTCTTTCCAGACGGGAGGTTTAGAATTACATTTCTTTTTCTTTTCTTTTCTTTT